TTTTAGCCAGGTAGTATAGTCAAATGGTCAGCAGGTGCCTCAAACTTCTCAAAGCACACAGGCTTACAGAACGAGCTGAAAGCCAGGGCTCTCAGGCAGTGCCAAACTCGCTGTTGGCAGGGGTTGCTCGTTCTCTGGTATTGAACTCGTTCTCCTGTTGGGCAGCGGCAGGCTTGCAGGCTCCCAGGCTCCGGCAGGCTCCCAGGCTCCGGCAGGCTCCCAGGCTCCGGCAGGCTCCCAGGCTCCGGCAGGCTCCCAGGCTCCGGCAGGGTTGTCTGCCACAGGCGAAGGCTGCTGCTCACTCAGGACCAGGGTCAGCAGGGCACTTAGCAGTTGCGTTTGCGTGTGTTGCCATGCATGAATAAATCTCATTCTATGAGTTTTCTTAATTACTGTGCTTCCTTATTAGTTGACACTTTAGAATAGTAAACTTTATATTAGATGTCTTTTTGATAAACGCCATTCTATCCATCTGTCCGATTTTTATTTTTGACAGCTGCAGCATCAGGCAATGAAAACATACAACCACCACCATTAGCTTACAAGAAGTGGGGTCTACAAGATATTGACACTATTATTGATCATGCTAGTATTGGTAAGTATTGCTAGTCTATTTTTATTCTTACACTTTTTTATTGACGCATCTAACTTATTAGAAATTGACATTTTATTCTTACATGAAAATAAATCTACCACCTTTAGTGAGACACTGGGAAGTTAGTTCTGAATTTTTTCACTAGGTTTATATCTTTAAGATAGAATAGCAGTTTTAGTAAAGATTTAATTATACCCTCAGCATCAATACTGAGGTTCTCAATAGTCACTCACTCTTTTGATGTCATTTGTCTGCTGACATTCTGATTCTTGTGATGACCTTACTTTGGACCTATGGAACATATATGAAGCAGATTTCTTCCCATGGCAGTATCTGAAGGCCTGTCGTGTTTTCAAGAGTAGAGAATCAAAGACTGGTACAGTGGTACATACCTGTCATCTCAGGACTTGGGAGACAAGGCAGAGGGTTGGGAGTTTGAGGCCAGACTACATTACATAAGACTCATATACCAAAGGAAGGGGGGGGGGGCAAAGCAGAAATAAAGAGCTAAAAAGTCATGACTCTGTCTAGAAGCACAAGGCTAACTGAAAGATACACGTAAGACTAGACAGCTGTAGTAGGAATCAAGGAGAAAGAGAAAGCTCCAGCGTGGAGCAACGTGACTTATTCTGACAGTAAGAGAACGAGCCCTCTGGCCGACACACATACTGGCCGGGGTGAACCGCAGAATGTGCTGAAGGAACAGTGAGTGCCCAGTGAGCTGGTGAGAGTGAGGCCAGGGCCACAGACAGGACCTCGTCTTGAAAGACCTCCCGTACCCACACAGAAGAGTAGCTGAATATTTCCTCAGGCCATTCTCAGCAAAGAAATAACTCCCTCATATCACCTGTGAGGAAAACCACCGTGGAGCCTGGAGAGATGGCTCAGAGGTTAAGAGCACTGGCTGTTCTTCCAGAAGTCCTGAGTTCA